TTAATCCCTAATCCCTATGATCTCAGAATAAATACAAGATTGTTATTGTTTAAGCCACTGTGACCTTGACCCTTGACCTTTCGACCCCAATGCGATAGGCCTATTTGGATTATCAAGAACGATCCACAAACCAAATTTGAAGTACACATGTGAAGAATTCCTCAAGTTATCGCACTGACAAAATTTCTTTTGTTTTAGCCACTATGACCTTGACCCTTGACCTTTTGGCCCCAAATGCAATAGGCTTCTTAGAATTGCCAAGGACAATCCACAAACCAAATTTGAAGTTCATATGTAAATTATTTCTCAAGTTATCGCGCTGACAAAATTTCTTTTGTTTTAGTCACTGTGACCTTGACCCTTGACCTTTCGGCCCCAAATGCAAAAGGGTTCTTAGGATTACCAAGAACAATACACAACCAAATTTGAAGTTCATATGTAAAGTATTTCTCAAGTTATCGCGCTGACAAAATTTCTTTTGTTTTAGTCACTGTGACCTTGACCCTTGACCTTTCGGCCCCAAATGCAAAAGGGTTCTTAGGATTACCAAGAACAATACACAAACCAAATTTGAAGTTCATATGTAAAGTATTTCTCAAGTTATCGCGCTGACAAAATTTCTTATGTTTTAGTCACTGTGACCTTGACCCTTGACCTTTCGGCCCCAAATGCAAAAGGGTTCTTAGGATTACCAAGAACAATACACAAACCAAATTTGAAGTTCATATGTAAAGTATTTCTCAAGTTATCGCGCTGACAAAATTTCTTATGTTTTAGTCACTGTGACCTTGACCCTTGACCTTTCGGCCCCAAATGCAAAAGGGTTCTTAGGATTACCAAGAACAATTCACAAACCAAATTTGAAGTTCATATGTAAAGTATTTCTCAAGTTATCGCGCTGACAAAATTTCTTTTGTTTTAGTCACTGTGACCTTGACCCTTGACCTTTCCGCACCAAATGCAAAAGGGTTGTTAGGATTACAAAAAACAATCCACAAACCAAATTTGAAGTTCATATGTTAAGTATTTCTCAAGTTATCGCGCTGACAAGATTTGTCCGGACACACACACCCACACACCTACCCACTCACCGAAGGACAAGGCGGAAACAGTATGCCCCTTTGGCTTCGCCGCGGGGCATAAACATTGGGTTGATAGAGTTTTCACAGTTTGAGAAGAATGAGTTTTTTTACTGGTTTTTCTTAACTACACGAAAGCAATGGAAAGCCCACACTTGGTATGTAACGTAAACATGTGTGTGGGGGTGTTTGCCTGTACAACCACTACCTTGTGGGGTACCGGAACAATAGGAGGTACCCCACAAGGAATGCTCACCGACTTGCGGGGTACCGTTTTGGTACCCCTAAAGTTTTTCACGAAATAGATATATGGATTTTACTCAAAAACTAGGAATTTCCAAGGTGGGTTGATCCGTCGCAAATGGGAGAGTTTTAGAAAAGGGATATTAAGTCCGAATTTCAGCCCAGGAAATTAACTATGGAAAATAAGAGCATTTTGACATAAGTGTGCGACGTTGCCAAATTTTAGTACACGAGAACAAAGGAAGTACCCCACTTCTATGCCTATGTAAGCGTTCTTGTATTGTATTACGCTCGAGGACAGACACACAAAGGGAGAACAAAAGATCGTGTACGAAAGTGTCTAAGCGTTAAATTGGTATAGCGCCCTCTCGTGATTATGAATCTAGAAAAATTCCAACGTGATTCCAATTTTAGTCACATTTGTCCTGAAATCATTCTGATAAACCTCGCAATTATTCCTTCAATCAAACGTAAAATCCCAGGTTAACCCAAATTTTCCTAATCATCTGTATGCCGTCCATCAGCGGCCGTGCGTAGAAGCTAACAGTGAGTAGATTTATAGATGATTTTAAGGGATATTTTGTGGGGGGTTTTGTAATGGATAAATAACGTGGGTTTCATCACATGTTGTTTTATGGGTACATGTACGTACATTTTATTGATCTTTTTACTAAGGATTATGCCCTCATATTTAATCATTATTGCTGGTTAATTTAGTGTAATTTGGGGCTTATAATAGCTTATCTAATCCCTCAGTTTGTTAGATAGTTTAGTTGATACTTGGGGAAATTATTACATGAATCTTAGTCCATTTTCATGTGTTTTTCATGTCACCTCATAAATGTAGGTTCCAATATTTATTATTGTATTAATTTGGTTTTCTTGTAGAACCACGGCCTACCACACGGCTTACACAACCTACATTGCAGTTCACGGCTCCCATACCACGGCTTAAAGTCTTCATCAGTAAATTAACCTAATCAGCTCAGCTACTATCTTCATCATTGTAATTGGAGAACAATCAGTAATTAAAGGAGAGCAAATCAACCAATCATAGACTCGTCACCAGTCTCCTGTCCTGCCCTTTCTTTCATGGTCCTTCGAGCCGGATTCGAACCAGTGACCTATGGATTTTACCACAATGTCTGAACACCATGCCGATGATGTTCTGGCCGAGGAGAACTGTGATGAGTCTGTTGCCTCAAAGCACTCCGGCAGCCAACGCACTACTAGCTCATCAAGTTCCCGTAACTCACACCTATCCGGTCTTAGTGATAAGGATGCAGCTAAGATGCGAACACTCAGAAGAAGAATTCGTCTTAACGAGCTGGAGTGCCAACTCCAGGAAGATCAGACCGCTGATGAGCAACTTCGTAAACTTGACGAGCAGGCCCGCTCTGCCCGACTTAAAGCTGAAGAAGTGGAGCAACAGGCGTTGCGAGAGCGTGAGGCCCTCACCTCCAAATTATCCCGTCAACGCAGAGTGCGGATTGCTCGTCAAGAACTCTGCGAGGCTGAAGCCATCAGTGCCATGTTGAATAATGAATCATCATCATCACCATCACCATCACATCCTTTAATGGGTACAGACGATCAGTCACCCCCACAGAGTGCATCCTCAACTCCACAACCAGACATGCAGCAAACATCCACAAGTGTTTCATCCTCTGTTTGTCATGGTAATCCAAGTGCTCCACTTGTGACATCTCACCCAGACATTCAGCAAGCACCCCCATGTGTTTCCTCCTTTGTCTGTCATCTGACTCCATCTGGTGCCCCATCCTCGACCTCACCACCGGACATTCAGCAAACACTACCCTGTGTTTCGACCTCTGTTTGTCATGGTGCCCCAGTGAGTGCGACCTTACCCGCATCAGTGGTAACCAGTGATGTCACTCCAAGACAAGGCATTCCTACTCCAGGGACTTGTCCTCCGCACTTGCCATACCCAATGGCTTCTGTACCCTCCTTAACGGTGTCATCAGCACCAACCGTTATGGATCTCCTTGTTGCATCATCACACGGGATCCCCAAACCTACCCTGCCAAAGTTTTCTGATGGGAAGGAGAAAGAATTCGCCCTCCTCAAGCTGGCTTTGGTGAACCTCATTGATGTGCATCCCCATCTTTCCGAACAGTATAAGTTCCAAATACTGATCGACAGACTTGGTGGCCGAGCATTAAAGCTTGCCAAGTCATTCCTGTACGCCGGTCAACTGTACACCCAGGCCCTCCAAGCCCTCACTGGCAAGTATGGACAACCCAGACAACTTGTGCAGAATGAAATTGGAGCCATCATGTCTACTCCTTCAATCAAGTATGGAGATACAGATGCATTTGATGACTTTTCTCTTGATGTTCTGTCACTCGTTGGAATGCTCCAAGCCTTGGAGGGCGCGGAGGGAGTTGAACTTCGATGTGGATCACATGTCGATCGTCTGCTGGGAAAACTGGCCCCCTCTCACCGAAACAGTTTCATGGAGCATTGCCTGAAGAAGGGCATACTGGAACCGAACTGCAGCAAGACATACACCTTGCCCCAGTTTGCAGAGTGGCTTCGCACAAAGTCACAGTCCCAGAGCTTCGCTAGTAGAGCTGTATCAAGTCACATCTCAGCAGGCTCTAAACCAACCCACCAACAAAGCCAGCACCGAGCCCCGAAGAAGGAGGTTTCCACAACTGTGTTCATGGCCTCACCGAACACAAAGGACAAACCCAAGTTCAAGCCTAAACCATACTGTCCCTACTGCGACAACAAGGAACACTTCCTTGGTGGCTGCCCAGAGATCAAGAAATTGAGCACCGACCAGATCATCCAATGGATCAAAGACAAGGGACGTTGTTGGAAATGTGGGCGAACCCATAAGCCAGAGGACTGCACATTGAAAAAGCCTTGTCATACCTGCAAGGAAATCCACCTCACTGTACTACATGATGCCGCCAAGAAGGCAACCAGTCATGTGTATAGGCTCCAGACGTCCAACCAAGCAGTCTTCGTGGACAAACCAACTCGCCCCCACAACGTCATGCTCAAGATTCTCCCAGTTACCCTCCATGGTCCAGGGGGATCCATCGACACATACGCCATACTGGATGACGGTTCTGAAAGAACCATGCTACTCCAGTCAGCAGCTGCCAGACTTAAGCTTCATGGCAACCCAGAGACTATGTTGCTCAGGACTGTTCGTGAAGACATTGTTGAATGTCAAGGCCAGTCTTGTACCTTCCAGATGACAGCTAGAGACCAACCTGAAGTGATGTACACTGTAACTAGAGCCTTCTCGGCCAGTAACTTGTGCCTATCCCAGTACACATATCCTGTTGAAGATCTACAACACCGCTACTCCCATCTCCGTCACCTTCAGTTGCCCGTAATCAATAATGCTTCTCCACAGGTCCTCATTGGATCTGATCAGGCGGATCTCATCGTGGCAAGACATCCAATCAAATCTGGCACACGGGGAGCTCCAGTTGCCATCAACACTAAGCTGGGTTGGACCCTCCAGGGACCTGCTGGGAACCAGAAGCAGCTGAAAGAACAGAAGGTTTTCAAAACTTCTCTGTTCCACAAACTACCGACATCATGCAGCACGTGGAGAGGTTGTGGCAGGCTGATGTGCTACCGTACCTGAATGACAAGCAAGCTACCCGCTCAAAGCATGATCAGCAGGCAGTCCAGATGCTTGAGACCTCAACTCAACGCGTTGAAGTCAACGGGATACGGCGCTACGCCACACCGCTCCTGAGGCAAAGGGACGAGACGAAATTCCATGCCCCGAAAGAGGCAGTGCTACCGACTCTGAAGGGGACCGAGAAGAGACTCGACAAATACCCACAGCTTGCTGAGAAACACAACGAGCTAATCACCAAGTTGGTCGATGCGGGTCACGTGAGGATCTTGCCAAAGGATGAAGCAGACAAGTCCGAAGAATCCTGGTTCATCCCACACCATACCGTATACCACAACGGAAAGTATCGACTAGTATTCAACTGCTCCTTCCGATACAACAACCAGATCCTTAATAAGCACCTCCTGCCAGGGCCAACACTCGGTGCATCGCTCATAGGTGTACTACTCCGCTTCAGACAACACGCAGTAGCTATCTCAGGAGACATCAAAGCGATGTTTCATCAAGTACGCCTCCTACCAGAAGACCGATGCCTCTTCCGATGCCTGTGGCGCAACCTACAAGTCGACAAAGAGCCAGACATCTACGAATTGCAGGTGCTTCCCTTTGGCTCGACTTGTAGTCCCTGCTGTGCGACCTATGCTCTGAGAAAGCACGCCTTTGACCATGAGAAGGACTATCCAGAAGTTGCAAAGGCAGTCGACAAGTCCTTCTACGTTGACAACTGCTTGCAGAGTCTACCAGTCGAGACAGATGCCAAAGCCCTTGTCCGGAAGATGCGAAACCTGCTTTCTGACGGTGGGTTTGAAATACGACAGTGGGCCAGCAACGTTCCTGCTGTAGTAGAAGATCTCCCACCAGATGCCCGTTCTGATGGCTGTGAGCTGTGGTTAACCTTCGGGGAGACAAATTCCACTGAAGGCACACTTGGAATGTTGTGGGAATGCAGTTCAGATGCCCTGCTGTACCGCCACAGACCCATCAGCTATGACTGCCTCAACATGAGGAATATGTATAAGATCCTTGCGAGCCAGTACGACCCTATAGGGTACCTAACCCCATTTACAGCCCGAGCGAGAGTCATTGTCCAAGACCTGTGGAAGACGAAGCGCAACTGGGATGATCCACTTGAGCCGGGTGATATCAGAGACCAGTGGCAAGCCTGGGAGAGTGAACTTCCCCACCTGACTGGAGTGAAGCTTAACAGATGCTACACACCACCAAATGTCAAGACAGAGGCTGCCCATCGCCAACTTCACATTTTCTGTGATGCATCGGAGAGAGTTTACGGAGCTGTGGCTTACATCCGAACAGAAGATGAAGATCACAACGTCCATGTTAGCTTCATCATGGCCAGGTCCCGTGTTGCCCCCAAACGGCAACTCTCAATGCCTCGTCTAGAGCTCTCTGCAGCCTTAGCCGGTGCCCAACTAGCTGATCTTGTCCAGAAAGAGTTGACTCTTCCTCTTGATGAAGTCATCCTGTGGAGTGACTCGACTACTGTGCTCACCTGGCTGCAATCAGAATCCTGCCGGTATAAAGTGTTCGTTGGCACCCGTGTCGCAGAAATACAGACCCTGACCGATGTTGACAAGTGGCGGTATGTTGACACCAAGAACAACCCCGCAGATGACCTTACGAGAGGCAAAACCCTGGTTGACCTCAGCCAAGCCAACAGATGGAGAGATGGTCCTTCCTTTCTCCGGTCGTCTCCCGACACATGGCCAGCTCACCCGTCTACACAGACAGAAGACCCATCTGAGTTCAAGAAGTCAACCTTCTGCGGTGCTGTGGTCGTCATTCAGCCCAACTTACCTGATCCATCCGAACATGACACCTGGAGTGACCTTGTTGCAGCTACCATGCAGCATCTTCATGGGGCGGCCGAGGATGCTGATCCTACCAAGTTGGTTGAACAACGGATAGAAGCCGAGATGTTTCTTTATCAGCGTGCTCAACAAGATTCCTTCCCAGAGGAGATTGCTTGCATCCAAGCAGGCAAAGAGCTCCCCCGTGGTAGCAGACTCCTGCAGCTTGCTCCAGAGTATGACGAATCTTGCGGCCTCATCCGAGTGGGAGGACGTCTTCGTCATACCCAAGATCTACCCAAAGACACCAAGCATCCCATCGTGATGAATCCAGCTCATCCCATAACAAAGCTTATCATCCGTGACTACGATGAGAAGTTGCTCCACTACGGACCTGAGCGCATCCTGGCAGAGATCCGACGTAAGTTTTGGATACTACGCGGAAGAGAAGCAATCCGAAAGCATCAACGCCAGTGCTTCGAATGCCAGAAGTGGAGAGCTAGCCCTCAAGTTCCGAAGATGGGAGATTTGCCTCCAGCACGCCTCCGCCTCTTCAAGCCTCCCTTCTACTCAACAGGGGTAGACTGTTTCGGTCCAATGACGTGCAAGACTGGGAGAAGGAGCGAGAAGCGTTGGGAGATCATATTTAAATGTATGACCACCAGGGCCATTCACCTTGACCTACTAGACAGCCTCGATACTGACGCGTTCTTGATGGCCTTTAGACGGTTCATCTCCAGAAGAGGGAAACCATTCGAGATCCTGTGCGACTGTGGCACTAATTTCAAAGGAGGTGATAATGAGCTACGGGACGCCTTTGCTGCCATGGATCCCATCTTACAGCAGGAGCTTGCCAAGCACCAGGTCAAGTTTGTGTTTAACCCTCCGAAGGCTCCACACTTTGGAGGAACCTGGGAACGGGAGATCAAGTCCGTGAAAGATGGCCTGAGAGTTGCCCTGAATGAGCAGTCCGTTCCTGAGTCAGTACTTCGCACCGTGCTCATTGAAGTCGAGGGAATCTTAAATTCCAAGCCTCTGGGGTATGTCTCATCTAATGTTGCAGATCCCGATCCAGTCACTCCAAACCTTCTGCTGATGGGACGGCATGATGCGACTCTCCCTCAGGTTGTCTATCCTGCAAGGGATCTACTTGGCAGACGACGCTGGAAGCATAGTCAGGTCCTCGCTGATCACTTTTGGTCCGGGTTCGTCAAATCCTACTTGCCGACTCTCCAGGAGCGCCAGAAGTGGCATACAGACCGTCCAAACCTGACCACCAATGATGTCGTTATGATTGTCGACCCAGCACTCAGCAGAGCTCAGTGGCCCATCGGAAGAGTTGCAGAGACCTTTCCGGGTTCCGACGGTCGTGTCCGCACTGCCAGCGTGAGCGTTCGAGGTAAAACCTACACTCGCCCAGTGGCACGACTGATCAGGCTTCCGGAGGTCAGTGACGACAACCTACCCGATGGTGAACCCGACAACACCTAAACTGTTACCTTGTATCATTACTCTTGTGATTCCGAGGGACACTTTCATATTTAGTAAATTTTATGCTCAAATTTAGGGGCGGCTGTACGAAAGTGTCTAAGCGTTAAATTGGTATAGCGCCCTCTCGTGATTATGAATCTAGAAAAATTCCAACGTGATTCCAATTTTAGTCACATTTATTCCTTCAATCAAACGTAAAATCCCAGGTTAACCCAAATTTTCCTAATCATCTGTATGCCGTCCATCAGCGGCCGTGCGTAGAAGCTAACAGTGAGTAGATTTATAGATGATTTTAAGGGATATTTTGTGGGGGGTTTTGTAATGGATAAATAACGTGGGTTTCATCACATGTTGTTTTATGGGTACATGTACGTACATTTTATTGATCTTTTTACTAAGGATTATGCCCTCATATTTAATCATTATTGCTGGTTAATTTAGTGTAATTTGGGGCTTATAATAGCTTATCTAATCCCTCAGTTTGTTAGATAGTTTAGTTGATACTTGGGGAAATTATTACATGAATCTTAGTCCATTTTCATGTGTTTTTCATGTCACCTCATAAATGTAGGTTCCAATATTTATTATTGTATTAATTTGGTTTTCTTGTAGAACCACGGCCTACCACACGGCTTACACAACCTACATTGCAGTTCACAGCTCCCATACCACGGCTTAAAGTCTTCATCAGTAAATTAACCTAATCAGCTCAGCTACTATCTTCATCATTGTAATTGGAGAACAATCAGTAATTAAAGGAGAGCAAATCAACCAATCATAGACTCGTCACCAGTCTCCTGTCCTGCCCTTTCTTTCAGATCCTTTCAGTCCTCGAACGACGGTGGTTTTGTTCGAAACTGTCCTCGATCGTACGTTTATGTGCTTAGTCTATAGGAAAGTGTTAAAGTACAGGGACAAAGGGAAACACAATACTCAGGCGTATAGTAAAACATGACTACACGTGTGTGTGTGTGTGTGTGTGTGTGTACAGGCATTACATTCACTGTGTGAACTTCCGAACAAAAGAGGTCCACATAAACCAGGTAGAGGAGACACTGTGTGGACTTGGGCAAGTCCACACAGTGTTTCCCCATTTCTGGGAAAACAGGTTTAGAGGCATTTTTGGGTTAGGTTTATCAGTAGCAGAATGAAGAGAAACACTAAAGGGAATCATAGAAAAAAAATTGGGTTGAAAGAGTTTTCACAGTTTGAGAAAAATGATTTTTTTTCACTGGTTTTTCTTAACTACACGAAAGCAATGGAAAGTCCACACTTGGTATGTAATGTAAACTTGGGTGTGTGTGTGTGTGTGTGTGTGGGGGGGGGGGGGGGTGGATTAATGCCCCTTCCTCCCTCATTGACCCCATGCAAATGGTCTAGCTACTAAATGTACTCACCTGTTGCAGCTGAGGGGGTGGGTACCTGTGCCTCCTGTTGCATCGTGGTAGGGACATCAGTCTGGCAGGCTGCTTCAGATTGTGCATTCATGGTACTCTGGGTCACCCATCCACACTCAGACCTTACCCACCTGCAGTGCATTGATCTTTTCATCGTAGAAGTTTGCTCTTTTTGGAACGAAGCCACAAATGGAAGTCCTGTTTGTCAATGATAAATAAAAAGCTGTAACACACTGGTCTTCATTCCAGCTTCATTCTCATTCTTCAGCACGAAAACTTGTACTCAAAGTGTTGTTTATGAGGGCAATTCCAAGCGAAAGTGGCTGGCAAAGTGGAACATTTGTGAAATCTTCAGAACTGCAAGAATCACAAGCTCAAATGTGCATGGAATTAAATTGAATTTATTGTATTTACCCAGGGTATGCCCAAACAGTTTAAAATTGGTTTCCATTGGGGCCCTGCATACACTTCAAATGATTATACACACATGTATAAATACAATACATTACAAATACAATTCAAAACAACGAAATAAAATAAAAGCATCCATGATTACTGCATAACTACAAAAGACTATACAAATACAATACATTACAAATGGAATACAACACAATGAAATAAAATAAGAGCACACGGGATTACTGCATGATTGTAATGCAACTATTAAAAACATTTTACATCATTACAAAGATACATATACAGTTTGAAATGACAAAAGGTGAATTAACTGTACACGAAGAATTTGGACATTTCTTGTGACATTGGTAAAATACATTTCTTGTAGGTAGTCCTCTTGGCACCTTGTTTTCACATGTGAAATGCAAAGGTTATTGTGGGTTTTTGTTACCGTGGTTACAGGCACAGAGAAAGGTTCATACATGGAGTTGCTTTTTGTTTGAATGTGTATACCGTACATTTCAGAAAACTGAGCTGTCACTTTATACACACTTGTTGCTTACTGGTACCCTATTTAAAACCTTATGGAAAATCATGTAAACAAAAATAACATTGTGATATAAAACGGGGGGAAACGAGGTGTTCATCAATTGGGCTAAAAAGTAGGTGAAGGGTTGCCTAACATGAAAGACTTAAACAAGAAATTATCAAAATTATTGGTAAAAAAACGTTTTGACGTTGACGTAATTATTGTAAGCAACAACAATCTTTTATTTTGGGGGATTATCTTGAAGTTGTTCAAGGGCCAATATTTGGTACTCTTCAGGGCGATACATGTGCGAAATTCTGAAAAAGGCACCCAAAACGGCAGATACCACAAAAAAGGGTACCAATTCTTTTCTGAAAAGGGCACTTGTTCAGAAAAAAAGGCCACTTCGTAAAAAAAGGGCACTGTTTACAAATTATTGGGGGGTAAGCCCGTTGAAAAAATGGCATTTGAATGGAAAAAGGCAGTCTTTACAAAATATTTGGGGGATAAATACCCCCCTTACCCCCCAGCGGGCTACACCTACGATAAGGCGTATTGCCACTAAAAATCAACTTGGTAACCATCATTTTCAGATTCAGCACCCCTGAATTAGGTAAAATAGCTATGTTACCAACTTCTACTAAAAAATGTCTCTTCTTGCCCTAAATGAGCCTTTTGTTTTTAAATATCACCTGTAATATAGAAACACTATGACTGAGCTAAAAAATATGATGGCTTTTGAAATGGACAGAATTGGCATGATTTGCATGTTTGACCAAAACTCAAGTCCATTTTGCGTCAATCCATCATGGTAATCATGAAAATTCATGTTTCATAAATATGACAAATCAAGGTTGGAAATTGAGTGTTTTTAGAAAGTGAATAGCAGTCTTAATGTACCATTTATTTGTTCATTCATAAATACCTAAGACAGTTTACGCATTCTTATTGGTCGAGAGCCCGTCACGTGGCTGGTTTTAAATGGATGATAAAGACATGGTTAGCTGGTCTTTAATGCTTTTCCAGTGTCACATGAAATTTGGACTCCTATGAAATCTGGTGCCTTAACGTTTCATTGGTTGAACGTTCAAATTCCTCCCGTATGCATGCGCAATGTACTACCAGTGAATCAGTATTTCATGGTCCAAAATTCACACTTCACCAGCCCAGCTGCATTTTGCGCAACATCGCGCAGAATGCGCAGTACGCGCGACGCGCACGCCAATGTCCCTATAAGGTAACGAGTTGTGGAGGGGCAATCCATATAATAGTCAGAGGAGTGTTTCGTAAAACATGATGTAAAATTAATGAACAAAATGGTTGGCAACGTCTAGTTTTTGACATTTTTTTTCTATTTTTGGACCGAAAAGGTATTTATGAATGGGAATAAATGTGTGTTCGGTCGGTATTAAACACTCTGTTTAAGACCGATTTGAGTCTGGATGGGCGATAATTACCCGAGGCGAACTCAAACCTGTCTTAATCAGAGTGTTATAGGCCTAATACCTCCCAAAGACACATTTATTCCCTTATTAATATTAAACTGAAATATGAAAATGTCTTGTGTTGTCACTCTGTAACACTTGCAACTGTCCTGCATTTGTAAGTAGTTCAGCTTGCACATGAATAAAGCCATACGTGGATGGGGCATTTTATTGTGGACTCGACGGGTCTTGTGGGTAAAACCCAAGACCTTGGCATTCGAGACCTTGGCATCCAAGACCAAGACCAAGACCAACACTGAGACCGAGGCTTTCAAGACTGAGACCAGCCTGCCTGGGACCGAGACTCTTATAGGGCGAGACTGAGACAAGACCAAGACCAAGAAAAAGTGGTCTGGAGTCACAGTAGAAACTGCACCAGACTAACGCACAGTTCACGTCTGTCAGTGAGATCAGTAAAATGCGACTGCAAAACTGCTTAACCCTAACAATCCCAATCCAGTCAAACTCCAACACCAGGGTTTGTTGGAATCTGTTGGATTGAGTACTGCACTAGTAAACTGATTATGCTTTTCATGTACATGGGGTTATGCATACCACCATAATATTTTGCCATACAAATTTTTGTAGTGTTGGAATTAGCCAGGGTGAGGTAGGTTCCTAGTAAATAACTCAAGGGGGCATGAAACCAAAAAAAGAACCCAAAACAAGAAGAAATGAACCAATGTCATGGCAAAACTTACAGTTGAGTTCGTAGCAGGTTGATTCAGAGACGCCCAAGCATTACAGCCCTGTACATGAAGCTGCCGCACCCAACAATCCCATGACCACTTGACGGAACTATATTATGCAAATTAATCCGTCAATAACATACGTTATCCCTCAAGCGCGAGTGGAACATGGAATAATGTAGTGCGTCTGTGTCCCACATACCAAGAGGCCGAAGGCCGAGTGGTATGTGGGACACAGACTTCCATAAACTTCCATATATGGCATTGACTCAAACTTTACAAAAGTTACAAGGTCATGATTCACAAGTGTTTTAAAATTCTGTCACATATAGGCCATTAGCCTGGGGGTTTGGTCTGTATCAAATGAGGGGAAAAATGCTCATTGTGATTTTTGACAAGGTATGCACCCCAGGCTGTAGTTGAAAAAATATGTGATAGCGTTGCAGTGGTGGCAGCTTTTTGGGTGCTATCACTTTCTTTTTTTTAAATGGCTTCAGAACATGCT